ACAGTGGGCATTGTAGAGGGGCAGGTGCCAAGTGCCGCCTGGCACACTGATGCTTATTTATGACAAGAGGATATGAATGAAAGTGAAAAAAGTCAGCATTATTATGTCTTTTATTCTAGCGACATTCTGGTTCTTGACTATCAGCAAAAAAAAATTAGGAGAGTTGAATTTAACTAACACAGGGGCTTTATTAAATTATAACTGAAAGGGATGACAGGAAAACTTCTACAGGGAATGTTCACAATAGACTAGGAAAGGAAGCTAAGAATATGAGAATTTTGATGTATGAAGAGAAAGTTACAGGCACTAGCACTGTGGTGCAAAAGTTAAGCCACTGTTTGCAATGCTGCTGTCCCAGTTCAAATTCTAGCCGCTCCACTTCCAATCCAGCTTCTTGCCAATGTGCCTGGGAAGCAGCAAAATATGGCACAAGTACTTGGGCCCCTACCAGCTATGGGAGAGACCAGGATGGAGTTTCAGGCTCCTGGCTTCAGCCTGGCCTAGCCTGGAATTGGGATAATAAACCAGTAAGGTAGAAGATCAATGTGTCTGTCTGTCTGTCTCTCTCTCTCTGCTGCTTTTCCATCTCTGTCACTCTGCCTTTCAAGTAATTAAATAAATAAATTTTTTACAAAAAGAAGAAGTTTCAGGTTCAGGACGCAGCAGACTGAGAGTGGTAGATACGCAGATTGGGAAACTATACCAGACAGAAGGGGGAGGTCATGAATTGTAGTAACGGCCAGCAGGTAATTGAGGAGCTGGGAATGAGGCAGCCATCAGGGAGAGAGAAATGAAAAGATGACTGAAGGTAAATCAAGAAAATGGGAGGCCAGCACATTCGAGGGAGCATCCACAGACACTGAATTCACCAACAAAGACAAAAAACAAGCGAGGCCAAAATCTGCCAATGACACAGAGGTGTCTGCAGACCAATGGTTACGTACATTTCCAATACCTTCCTGGTCATAGAAAAGCTTTTATGAGATTGCGTTTTAAAATGGGACCATTTTTTGACTTGGACATGCCTAGATGGTATTCCCAAATATAACAACAACTCTGCCCTTCACAATGTCCTATGGGACTTGGGTTTGGGACAGATGCCTGGATGCAGCCCCAGAGAGCCTTATGCCTTAGGACTGAGATCTACGTCAGAGAATACACGTGGTTCAAAGCTCCCTGGGTGACTCTGAAGGGCATCCTTGCTTAGTTACTAGTAAATTAAATCAGTTATTAGAAAATACCATTCAGAATCAGTCATTTCAAATATTGGTTTACTTAAGATTTAAAAGAGGGGCTGGCACCATGGCACAGCAGGTTAATCCTCTGCCTGCGGCGCCGGCATCCCATATGGGTGCCAGTTCTAGTTCTGGCTGCTCATCCTCCAATCCAGCTCTCTGCCATGGCCTGGGAAACAGTAGAAGATCGCTCAAATGCTTGGGCCCCTGCACCCGCATGGGAGACTGGGAAGAAACATCTGGCTCATGGCTTCAGATTGGTCTAGCTCCGGCCATTGTGGCCATTTGAGGAGTGACTCAATGGAAGGAAAACCTTTCTCTCTGTCTCTCCCTCTCACTGCCTGTAACTCTACCTCTAAATTAAATAAATATTTTTAAAAAATATTTAAAAGATAAGAAAGCAGTGCTAAAATTCAGAACTAGAAAATCTCAATTAGTTCTAGTAAGAAGTTTAATATAGCATACTATATTTCTTTTCATCTTCTTTCTTTTGCGATAGGAACAATCTTACTATAAAACATTTGCCATGTAGTTACTTAAAAATTACCTTATATTTTGGACAAACTATAGTTATATGCGAAGTGATTATTTTTATCCTGAAAAGTCCACTCAATATCTTTTGCATTTTTCTGAGATCTCACATCCTTTCTCTGAATTTGTAGTGAACCTGACCCTTGACTACTTTGTACCTTTGTGGCATGGTTCCTTATGAGTCTTTCTTGTCCTCTATCCCAAGAGAACTATAGCTGAGCTATTTTTATGTTTCTTACATCCTAGTTCAGTAACTTAACAAAAGTAGAAAAAATATTCAATGTATAAAATGAATATAAGATTGACCATAGAAACAGCACATTAACCTAATTTATACCTCTGACCACTGTATTATTTTTAAGCAGCTTCTGAGAAAAGCAGTACACATAATAATGTGTGGATTCAATAAATAAGAAAAAATGGGGGCCAGCGCTATGGCATAGTAGGCTAAGCCTCGGCCTGTGGTGCCAGTGTCCCATATGGGTGCCAGTTTGTGTACTGACTGCTCCTCTTCCGATCTGGCTCTCTGCTGTGACCTGGGAAAGCAGCAGAAGATGGCTCAACAGCTTGGGCCCTTGCACCCATGTTGGGGACCTGGAAGAAGCTCTTGGCTCCTGGCTTTGGATCAGTTGGCTCCAGCCATTGCAGCCCTTTGGGGAGTGAACCAGTGGATGGAAGACCTTTCTGTCTCCCCCTCTCTCTATCTGTAACTTTATTTCCAAAATAAATAAATAAATAGGAAAAATGATACTCAAGTACTTAATAGAAAGCTAATAAAATATCAAACCCACAGAAATTCATTCGTCCCATAAAGTTCTCATTAATCTAAGCCAATATATCTTTTTTCAGAAATATTTATTTATTTTAAAGGCAGAGTTACAGAGAGGCAGAGAGGCAGAAAGGGAGAGAGAGGTCTTCCATCTGCTGGTTCACTCCCCAGATGGCCTCAACAACCAGAGCTGCACCGATCCGAAGCCAGGAGCCAGGAAATTCCTCCTGGTCTCCCACGCGGGTGCAGGGGCGCAAGCACTTAAGCCAGCCATTCCTTTACTGCTTTCCCAGGCCACAGCATAGAGCTGGATCGGAAGTGGAGCAGCTGGGTCTTGAACTGGCATTCATGTGGGATGCCGGCACTGCAGGTGGCGGCTTTACCTGCTACGCCACAGCGCCAACCTGGGCCAATAAACCTTTATACTGATCCTGCCACAAGCAAAGTTGCTTCCTTCCTAGGCAGGTTCCTCTGGGTGTCTTACATGATAGACAGGCACTGATGGTTATAGGATTCAGATCCGAGAGGTGGAACGAGCCTGGCTTCAATCTTGAGGGAGGATTTGATGGTGTGCAATTGCACTCCGTTGTATACTGTTAGGGTCAGCCTTCTGGCGTGCATTAGAAACTCTCCAGGTGTCATTTAGTCCTTCATTTTCTGACTACCACAGGCCGTCATTATGTATGATACAATATGACATTAACCAAGACACCATCCCTGATAGCAAGGAGCTTATGATCTAGTTGAAGAACAAAAAGTATAAATGGGATAAATATGCTGGAAGAAGTATCCCATGGAGTCAGCCCAGAGCTGGAAAACCAGTCATCTGTGACTTCTAAATTAAGGTCAAGGATGGCTTTGTGCTGCCTGGGTGCAGTGGTGAGAGGGCCCTGGTTCAGACGCATGACCAGTAGGTGCAGAGATGAGCGGGTAAGGGGACCCAGGGAGCATTAGGGAGACCCCACGTGCTCCGTGTGCCTGGAACACCGGGGGCAGACTGTGAACGGGCCTTTAGCCATGTGAGTGACTTTGACTTCATAATGCGATCCGCCAGAGGGTCTGGGGTGAGGTCTGCAGCACAGCAGTGTTTAGCCACAGAAACATGCAATTTGGAAGCCCGTAGGGTATCTTTAAGCAAATTATACCCTGCATTAGAGAAAAATTTGCCACAGATACTGATGATTGCTCTGTGAATCCATAATTTTAACAACTTCACATACTAAATGAGAAAATCTGAAATTCATAAGATAAGCCATGTACCTATCTGTTGGATATAGCATCCACTTAGTTCTGTTTGCAGGTAAGGGACCCGTTTCTCAGTATTTTCAAGAAAACAGGATGCTGACAGTCTTGATTCATCCAAGAGTCAGGTCACTTTATCCTGGCAGTGTAAAAGCCACTTGACCAGGATGAAAATTGTATTCACAAAACCTGTTTCAGAACTTCTTCCCTAGTGGCTTCGGTGGAGTTAGTCTGAAGAGCTTTAATGGTTCGCTAGGGAGTGGCAGTGATCATCTTAAGAGTTGAGAGCCGGGGGCTGCTGCACACTGGACTGCTCTTCTCTGACTGAGGGGTACCACGGACGCTGCGTTCATTTCATGAGCACGTGGAAGACCGCTGGCCACTGCTCACTCCCATCCAGCTAACCCCACGGCTGGGAGAGACCAGATCCGCTTCTCTAGGAAGCTTTTCATTCTTGGTTAAATTTTCAAGTATTTTAAAATAAAAATTGTATGTATTGAAGGTGTACACTACAATGTTTGATATACATATACTTAATGATATCGATGCTGTTAAGCAAATGAGTTTATTCATCTTCTCACACAGTTACCTGCATTTCTTTGTGTTGGGAGCAACTGAAATTTACTCTTAGTAAATTTCCAGGGTGTGTTAGAGTGTTATTAGCTGTAGTCACCACCATAAGCATCAGTGCATGGAAGACTGGCCCTTTAAGGAACCCCACAAAAAGAATAATTCAGTAGCTAGAGACAATTACAACATCATGCTCAAACTCTAATCTCTGAAAGTGTAAAATGCAACCGTATTATAGACTGTATTGTCCTCATTTTATAAGTTCACATTACCTATGTCATTCTGCAGTTATACAGGAAAATGGTGATTAACACCACTAACGCTATTTTATTTTTAATATAAGTACCACAGTTTATCAATGCTTTAACCAATGCTTAAATGCTTAGAAACAATATGCTTTATACATTGTGAGTCTGAGTTTTTGTTTTTTTAATGAGACACCAGGTTCAGAATCCAGTTCTTCCCTTTACTAACTCCGTGGCCTCAAGCCTCAGTGTTCTGATCTAGAATTTGGGGATATTAATAGTAAATTTCTCAGACTCACTGATAGAGCTGAAGAAGGCACCAGGACATTGTTTCTACCGTTAGCATTCTTGAGCATTTCTGCCCTTACCTGTTTGATCAGGAGCAACTTTTCATTTTTTCCCCCCTAGGGATATGAAGCCTGACAATATTTTACTTGATGAACACGGTAAGTAAATGTTTTGTTTGCAATCAACTAAATGGCATGCATGTACCAGCTGATTATCTCTAGCAAAAGGAGTACTGTGGATGGAAAAGGTGATTTGCCTGATTTGTTTGGGTTATATGTGGAGACTGTTTTATGGGTACAAAGGGCAATACTGGGGGACATTACAGCTGTGGTGTAGCACAGTTCCCCCTTCAACACTGAGTTTACCAAATGACACTCGTTCTGTCTCCATTTTCCTCCAGTACTACTTTTCCTCAAGGAAACCATCTGTTTTTTGGTGCTGGCTTGCCTTAATATCCTAGCCTGCCATAATATCTTATAATGCATAATCGTGTCCATTTCTATGAAGTCAAAGCAGGCCTCCACCTCAGAATCTGGCGGCGTATCCATCGATTTAGTGACATTAATGTGCCCTCATTGCATTTGTCTTTATGCTTTCCTTCTTACAAAGGCAAATTGCTTTTATGTTTGTAGGATATCAAATTTCCTGTTCAAAATTTTTAATAAAAAATCAGTGTTTAAAGAACAGTATTAGGTATATAAAATGTAGATACATGGCACCTGAATGGGAAAATGATGCTGGCACATAACAGTAACTGTGACAGCAATCAGTGAATTGCTGAAGTTCAAGATTCACTAAGAGATGCTCTCTGGAACAAGCGTTTGCCAACAGTACATAACTGTGGATAATGCCCTCCTCATATTCACTTTCATAAACGTGTGGATTTATTGCTACTGCATCAGGGATGACATGCAGAGTACACAGACTTCATGTTATAAATGTTCTGGTTGGGGCCGGCGCTGTGGCGAAGCAGGTTAACACCCTGGCCTGCAGTGCTGGCATCCATATGGGCACCGGTTTGAGTCCCGGCTGCTCCACTTCCGATCCAGCACTCTGCTATGGCCTGGGAAAGCAGTAGAAGATGGCCCAAGTGCTTGGGCCCCTGCACCCATGTGCGAGACCCAGAAGAAGCTCCTGGCTCCTGGCTTTGGATGGGTGCAGCTTCAGCCATTGCGGCCAATTGGGGAGTGAACCATTGGATGGAAGACCTCTCTCTCTCTCTCTCTGCCTCTCCTCTCTGTGTAACTCTGCCTTTCAAATAAATAAATAAATAAATCTTTTTAAAAAAAAAAAGTGTCCTGGTGGCCCCAGGACCCGTGTTATATATTTACAGAGCTGCTAGATGAGAGGAGCCTCAATTTGCCAAGCTCCATACTCACTCGGCTTTTGCAAACGGGGCTTGCACGCGGAACTGAGGAACCACAGCTCCACTACCACCCAGTGCTCATGATTTATTTACCTGGTTGAGTTTTAGACCTGACTTGGCAGACCCCACCTCTGCTTAGAAACACTTTCTTGTATGACCTCTAATCTCAAACCTCAGGGTCATTATTTATTTATAGACTGTCTGAACGGATTTTTTCCACTTGCTTCCAGCGCCTTATTTCTTTCTTACCTTTACTGCTTCTGACATTCAGGAACAGATTCTCTGGGTCTCAGCAACGCAAGCGTGCTGACACTAAGCACGAAGAGGGTTTTCGTGAAAACGCTCTCCCTGCCTCAGATGGAAGCAAGACCCTCTCTCAGCCTGGCTTAGATCAACTCTGTGCAGCTTCATTGTCACAGAGAGGATCTTTGCCCTCCAGGGACCACCTTTCTGCATCACAGAAAAGAGTGCTCTTGGGCCAGCCCTGTGGCGTAGCGGGTTAAGCCACTGCTTGCAGTGCCAACATCCCATACAGGCTCTGGTTCAAGTCCCAGTTGTTCCACTTCCGATCCATCTCCCTGCTCATGTTCCTGGGAAAGCATCGGAAGATGGTCCCCACGGGAGACCTGGATAAAGCTCCTGGCTCCTGGCTTTGGCCAGGCCCAGCCCTTCCATTGCAGCCAATTGGGGAATGAATCAGCAGATGGAAGATTTCTCTCTCTGCCTCTCCCCTCTCTCTCTGTAACTCTGCCTTTCAAATACATAAACTTACCTTAAATAAAAAAAAAAAAAAACCACTCCCTCTCCTACCACAGCTTCTGACACACATGGCCGACCAAGCAGACCCAGGTTGGGGTCCAGTACTCACTTGCTCTTCAGCTGGCTGCTGTTGTGTGTACCTGTGGCTCCACCATCGCCGAGGCCGTGAACAGAGACACATCCCTAGAAAGCAAATCATTTCCAGGGTTATCTTCATTTAGAAGACAGTGTTTTGATCTTGAGTCTGAGACGTGGCTTCCTCTCACTTCTACCGTGAGGGTATCTTGTTCTCCTCTGTTCAGCTTCTGCCCCATTGTCACAAGCTTGGCAACTTGGCGAGTATAGATTAGGGAAAAGGGGAAGAAGTCAATTGATCTGCAACCACTCTTAGGGCTTACCCTCGTGAAAGAGTAATTGTGTTAGAGGATGGTTAAGGGTGTGCACTCTGAAGTCAGAGTTCTTGAACTCAAAACCCAATTCACTCACTCCTTTGCTGAGAGTTTTGATAAACCACCTGAACTTTCCCTGTATCTTAGTTTCTTCAGGAACAAAAAAGTTCTGACTTCTTAGAGTTACTGTAAAGACTGACAGAATACTTAGAAGGTGCTTGATGTGATGTGGGTCACAAAGAAGCACTCAGCAGAAGTCAAATGTGAGTATGAGATAGTAGTGATTTTTCCTGTTGGGAAGGAAGCTTGGACTATTTCTTTTTTTTTTTTTTTAAGATTTATTTATTTTATTTGAAAGTCAAAGTTACACACACACAGACACACAGAGAGAGAGAGAGAGAGAGAGGTCTTCCATCTGATGGTTCACTCCCCAATTGGCCGCAACGGCTGGAGCTCGCTGATCCGAAGCCAGGAGCCAGGAGATTCCTCCAGGTCTCCCACGTGTGTGCAGGGTCCTGACGACTTGCGCCATCTTCCACTGCTATCCCAGGCCATAGCAGAGAGCTGGATTGGAAGTAGAGCAGCCGGGTCTCGAACCAGTGCCTATATGGGTTGCCAATGCTTCAGGCCAGGGCGTTAACCTGCTGAGCCAAAGTGCTGGCCCCACTTGGACTATTTCATCTTGTTTCATTGACTTTAATCTAAGCTAGCACATATCCTATATGCATCAAATCTCTACCATATAGAGTCTGTAAAAGCTGGGCACCTTCCTGTCTTTCCCAAATAATTATTTTCATTCCAGAAGCAATATTCCAAAAATTCTTTGTGCTTATTGGATCATGTGTTTAAACAATTCCATTTAATCCTTAATCTTCAAGCTACTCTACTTTCAATGGTCCATTCTGCTTTCCTTCATGAAGGCAAGAGGCTACAGTTGATGGCATTTTATTCATGGTGGGGCTGGAATTCTGTTGCGTAGGGAGTGTGAGACATCATCCTAAGCCACCTTGGGGACAATCCGTTCTATACCCAATATCTGGTTTGGTAATTACAATGTGCTTGTTACTGTCAGATTTTTTGGTTTGAACACTGAGTTGAAAGGATAATTTGGGGCACTAGCGTGTGGCATAGCAGGTTAAGCCTCCACCAGCAATGCCAGCATCCTATATGAGTGCCTGTTTGAGACCCAGCTGCTCTACTTCCAATCTAGCTCCTCAATATACCTGAGAAATCAGTAGAAAATGGCCCAAGTGCTTGAGTCCCTGCCACTCAGGTGGAAGAGCAGAATTTCTGGGCTCCTGGCTTCGGCCTGGCCTAACCCTGGCTGTTACAGCTATTTGGAGATTGAACCAGTGGATGGAAGATCTCTCTCTTTCTTCTCTGCAGCTCTGCCTTTCAAATAAATAAAAAATAAAAATATTTTTTTAAAAAAGGATAACTTTCTGTAACTCAACTTGATGATCACTGCTGTTAAAAGAAAAATTCATTGGGAAGTATTATTTATGGGGATATAAGCAAACAAAAATATAATTCAGAACCATTCTCTAAACATTATCGAAGAGATCCTTTTCTTTCTGTAGAAAATATGTTAAATTCTTTATTTTCTGTTTGGTCAGATTCTGAAAAACTAGGACTCTCAGACATTGCTCAGGAACATAATTAGCCACTGTTAGGTGAATGCATTGCCTTTTTTTTTTTCTTTTTGACAGGCAGAGTTAGAGAGAGAGAGAGAGACAGAGAGAAAGGTCTTCCTTCCGTTGGTTCACCCCCCAAATGGCCACTACAGCTGGTGCGCTGCGCGCATCCAAAGCCAGGAGCCAGGTGCTTCTCCTGGTCTCCCATGGGGTGCAGGGCCCAAGCACTTGGGCCATCCTCCACTGCACTCCCTGGCCACAGCAGAGAGCTGGACTGGAAGAGGAGCAACCGGGACAGAATCTGGCGCCCACATGGATGCTGACACCGCAGACGGAGGATTAGCCAAGTGAGCCAGGGCGCTGGCCTATGTGAATGCATTTCTGATGCCTGCCTTCCCCGCTCTTGTGAGACTCAGCTGAGCCACAAGACAATGGCTGCCCTTTGGAGTGTCTGGTGCTGTGCTTTCCCACGTGGAGCACTAACGTGAAGCCCCCATTCGTCTTCTCCACTCATATTTAGGATGTTTCAACTCTGATGGCCCTCTGGTCTGGGCATTTTTGCAGCTGTGCAGAGTAATCACCTATCTCACATGACTTTCTACTCCTGTTACTCCAAAAGAGCTGCGTGTCACGCCACATATATTTTAATCCAACACTGTTCAGTAAAAGGGCGGAACATACTCTCATTGATTCATATTGCTCACATTCATCTGAAAAGATTGACAATTAAAGGAATTGATTTTAAAACAGAGAATCTTGCCATGCTGTGAATATTTCTTATATGTAGGAATTTGACATAAAAAATGTTTTTAATTTAGAGCATACCTGTTACAGTTCTCCCCAGATGTCTCATTCTCTAGTTCAGAGCCAACATAGCGCTAGGTCTTGATGGCTCATAACCGACTGTCCTGACAGATGCTTTCATATCCCACCAATTTAAGTGCCCCATCCAATTCTATCAATTCCAGAGTGTCTGACATTCTTGTGTTTTCCTTAAATTATTCAGGAAATAAATGCTACATCCAGAGGAACAATAATGCCTGCGTGGCATATCCGAGGAAATGATAATTGTGGCGTTATCTATCATTTAGATTTCTTAATATCGTTCCTAGACACAAGGAGCAGAGGCAGAGACTCAGTCTGGAGGGGACGGAAGAGCAGAACATGCTACCCTAACAGCTCCCCTTGCAGAGTCCCCAAAGCCAGGTGCACGCCATCTTGTTAATAGAACAGGTATATATTGGAATCTGTACTGTAGTCCCAGGTAAGGTTTACTGTGACTCAGGCGGTGCCTAGGGACTTGCATGTGTAACAAGCATCCCATGCTCTGTAACGACTTGCAGGAAAGGGGCAGTTTTAAAGGTTGGGGTAGTGGCAGCCACCTGGCTGTGGGGCTCCGGAGGGCAGTGTGGCTGTGCTAGTGTTGCACACTCAACAGAGGCACAGGCAGAAAGAGTATAAATAATGACAATAAAGACAGCTGAATTCAATGACTTCGTAAGACGACTTCTATTGGTAATGTGATCCTGTTTCAGGTGGGAGGGAAACGGAAAGGTGAAAGCCCTCTCCTACTGGGCTCAATCAGAAAGGTCTGAGCCTCCCACCTGTAAAACCTCATCGGAGGCAGTGAAGCTCAGCTGGGGTGGTTGTGCCTGACGGCTGGTCTCTGCAAGCGGCATTTGGCAATGTCTGGAGACATAGTCCTCAGGATTCCTGACAGGTCTGGGAGGTGCTGCTGGCGACTAGTGGGAAGAGGGCCCCGGGAGACTGCTGAACATCCAACAACACACAGGACTGCTCTCATGGCAAAGAATGCTTAGGGCTAAGTTCCCAGCAGTGCTGACATCAGAAAACTGTCCTAAGGCCCCCTCAGAGCCCACACTCCCAGAAAGTTCTGATTCCCAAGGCTTCCCTGTGGCTTTGAGTTAACCAGAGGCAGAACCGTCTCCCATGCCCCAGCCCTCAGGTTCATTCTCATAGCGCAGAGGGGAGCACGGCGGACAGCTCACCGTGGTGAGCAGAAAGCCAAGTAGGGCAGCGTTGGGGCCCGGATTGAGACTTCATGCCAGTGTCCGTGGCCACGCGGGCTACTGCGTTCAGTGTTTAGCTCCAGAGCACCAGGCTAGGGCTTCTAGGAACCGCACCCCCCACCCCCGCCCCCGGGCCACGCCCAACCTTTACTGAGCATCCCCGCTGGAGGAGAAGAACTGAAGCAACACGAAAGGAGCTGTGGTTGTTTCAGGTTAGTCAGTTCTTTGGGTTCATGATATTAACACGCAACCGCTTTAGGAGCTTCAAGACCTACCGCATTCTCGATCCTCACCCCAACTCTGCTGGTTCTGAGCCGTGATTGTACCAGCAAACCACTCGCCCGTAAAATACAGAACTACCTCACTGCGTTGAAGGAAACTTTGTGCACCAATATTTCTGAAAACCAAATTAAATCACATAAGTGTAAATAATATTGAAAAGATAAATATTCAAATTCTCTCAACGGAATTCAGCAAACACATCGTAAGTACTCACTAGAGCAGCGGCCGTCTGTCTGCTAAGCTGGGCTTCCTTCAAACGACTGATCTCCAACTTTTCTCTACTGAGTACCTTTTCAGAATCGCCTGGAGGGCCTGTTTAAACGCAGGGAACCCGTGCTTGGAGGGTCTCATTCCAAAAGGTGGGGGCAGGGCCAAGAATCTGCATGTTTAATAAGTTTCCAGGTTAAACTGATGATGCTGATTTGGACACCACACTTTAGAAACCAAGTGGTTCCATTTTATTTTTTTATTTGTTTATTTGAAAATCAGAGTTACAGAAGGAGAAGGAGGGACAGAGAGAGAGAGAGAAATCTTGCATCCTCTGGTTCACTCTCCAAATGGCCACAACAGCCAGGGCTGGGCCAGGCCGAAGCCAGGAGCCTCCTTCTGGTCTGCCACGTGGATACAGGGGACCAAGCACTTGGGCCATCCTCTGCTGCTTTCCCAGGGAGCTGGATTGGAAGCGAAGCAGCTGGGACATGAACTGGTGCACATACGGGACGCTGGCATCACAGGTGGCGGCTTAACCCACTATGCAACAACCAAGCAGTTGTAAAACATCCTCCACCTTCCACTTGCACTGAGCTAAGGAAACCTATGCAGGTTGGAGAGTCACGTGCCTGGCTGCCCATCTGCAACACCTGTAGAGTTGGCTGTTTTCAATACCGGTGCCCGGCTCCCCTACCAGTCCTGCTGAATTGGAGTCCCAGGAGAACGAAGCCTAGGCATGTTTGTGTATATTTTGCAAAAGTACACTGGATTCTGATGACGACAGATATCAACAATTTCCTGCCAGAATCTAAGTCTCCTATAATCATCATTTCATTTAATTTTCCCAGTAACTTTATGGGAAGACTACTGTGATGGTTCCAACTGTCCAGAGGAGATAAGTGACTTTATCAAGGTAACAGCACATCTAGATTATGCTAGAACCTGGACATGAAGCCACCGTACCTGATTCCTGAGAACAAGCTGTTAACCACAAGGTCCCCAGGCTTACCTGTCTTGGATCAAACCATGCACGCCACTGGCCCAATGCTTTGGATAAAATTAAACTGTGGCAGGAAAGGCAGTGCGATGCGTCTTTGGCAGGAGGCTGGATGCTCACAGGGAGCAAACAGTGACATTTTCTGTGGGGCATGAGGGCTGTGCACCCTGGAAGAATTAGATTACATCTGCAATTACAGCCGTCTCTTTCAGAACCACAGACTCCGGGCCATGGAAGTGCCAGGACCCTCAGGTCTCCTGGATGTCCACGGCTGTCTTACCAGGAGCTCACATGGCAGGCTTTGCCAGCTGAGCTGCAGGTCCTGCCCTTTTCTTCCTTCTAGCTGTAAATGAAAGGACCCTTACGGCACTGCGTAGGAAGTGCCAGCACCACCGAGACTGCCATGAGTGTCGGAGCCAAGGCAGACGCGGGACATCAGCCAGTCTACGCGTTGCTTATTTCAGCCTGGGAAAGGGACTTACAGCTACTATGTGCTGGATGCTGAGGTCCAGGAAGAATCCAGGTTTCCTGGCTCTCAGTCTCAAGTGCTCTTCAGATAATCCCTTTAAACAGTTGGCTTTTCCCTTGTCTTTCCCTTGACAGTTATTTTGTTGGGGGTCGTTGGGGACAATCTGAACTAGTAGAGGAAAAATAGTAATGATATTTCAGAAAAACGAGAAGAAAAGCAAATCTCTCTTGGAAAAGAAATAAATATGAGTCCATACTCTTGCCAGATTTGTAGTAATAGTGTTTGCCCCTTCAAAAGAGATCCCAGAGATATGCTTGGAAATTCGATACTTTCACTAGTTCCTGACCATCTCCTTCATAATCCTTACAGGCTGAACCAACTAAAAATGTTGCCAACTGACAAAAACTGCCTAAGTCGAATAACTAGAGCATAAACTCTTAAATTAAAACTTTCTGAGGCTGAACTACAAATTTACAATCAGAGACTAATCGTTTCCTATCCGGTGTTTTGGCTGCTGGAGTGTTGCTGGTTTAAGATCGTATTACCCTTGGCGACGTAAATAATTAAGCGTTTATTGCCTGTATTGACTGCAGCCAGCACGCAGGAACAGGCCAAGCTTCCAGATGCTTTCAATCAGAAGCAGGGCCGTGCCACTGGGTCGAACGGGACTTCATGTTCTCTGTGCTCCTTCTCTCTCCCCAGGACATGTGCACATCACAGATTTCAACATTGCTGCGATGCTGCCCAAGGAGATGCGGATCACCACCATGGCCGGCACCAAGCCTTACATGGGTATGGGCCTCACAGGGAGCCGTATTTACTAAGAGCAAAAGTTTGGTTTTTCATTCCTGGAGATGCCATTTAGCAGACATCAGATTATCAGCCAGAACTAACAGGTCCCTCCGGGACGTGACCAGGGGAGCTTCTGATTCCATCATCTGAGATGAACTGTACGATTCTCTTTTTGCAAGCTCCCATTTGATCTTAAGTTAGGAAGGCTACTAATCACATTTTGAAAACACCATTTCATGAGTTGATTCAGACAGTGTGCACCCACTTCCTAATAAGAAAATATTGCCGAATTCCATAAGTAATTACTGTCTGTCTTCTGGGCACTGTTTTAGGCGCTAGTGACCAGGGAGCTACCTGGGTCTGTAGCGCATGAATCCTACATGCTGGTGAGAGGAGGCAAAAACAGAATCAAATAGAGAGGGAAGAAACAGTAACAAGAACCAAAATATTACTTCACTCATTATTTACATATTATGTTATTATATAGGACATAGGGTTTGCAACATGCCTTGCTAGTTATAATTTTAGTTTTAGCACCGCAACAATTTTATGGGTTCTTAATTTTAAAGACACAGAAATCCTGCTTGAGGAAGGGAAAATGACTTTGCTTATAATGAGATGAGGAACTGGGATCTGCCCTGAAGATTCAGAATTTACTAAGGGGTAATTAAAATGGTAGGCTTAGGTGCAAATTTGCCAGCTAAGTCTCGTGTTTAATTGTGTTAACAATTCAATTACAAATTCTAACTTTAGTTGTTGGAACAATCATTTCTATATAAATTTATTGGAAAAGTAATTTCTGTATAGCTTTATATATGCTACTTATTTATACTACTTACATACATATACAACATGCAATACTTGTATACCATTTAAAACTTGTTTGAGAGGCAGAGAGAGGGAGAAAGAATCCACTGGTTCATTCCTCAAACGCTGGGGCTGGACCTGCCCAAAACCAGCAGGTAGAAACTCAGTTCAGGTCTCCCATGTAGATGGCAGAGACCCAGTTACCTAAATCATCATCCATTGCCTCCCAACCTGTGCATTAGCAGGAAGCTGGAATGAGGAACAGAGCCAGGACTTGAACACAGACACTCTGGTATGGGATGAAGGTGACTTTATCAGTAGGCCAAATGCCTGATGCATTTATATGGACATTTTAACAACACTAGTGGGACCTTCTATCCACTCCTGAAAATATAAAGGGAGATTTGTCGCCCTTTATGGAGCTTACCATATTCAGAAAGAGGGACTTCTTCCCTTCTCCCTACTGGTCCTAGGCAGGTGAGGCAGATCGCAAGGTAAATATCTCTAAATTGTTGGGTGGCTGCAAGAAGAGGTGCCTCGCATCCCATTCTGGGTTAGATGTCTGTCCTGTTAGATGTGTGGTCCCCAAGCCAGCACAGCCTGGTTGGCCATGGCTGGATAAAGAGTCTGAGGATAAGTCTTGCTGGGGGTCATAGCAGGAGACAAGGTGTGCAGTGAGTGCAAGTGTTTGTACGAGAGGTGGACTAAGTAAAGGATGTGGCCTGACTCCCCAAAGCTCCTCCAGTGCCCAGCCTGGAAGGGAAGGGGGCTCCAGATAGCATAGCTAACTGGGTGACACCAGCAGTCTCAATAGAGCCCAACACTACCGGAATCTGAGGGTAGCGCCTCGGCATTGGTGGGTTCAAAGCTCTTCAGGTAATGCTACTGTGCAGCCAGGATCAACAGCTCTGCCACAGACTATGGGTGACGTTAGCTATTTGCAACAACTAAAGAGAGACCTCCCTGATACCGGGGCAGTGCATTGGCGTTGGGATTCTTCTGCCTCTGCTTTCTCCTGTCTGTGTCCTAAAACAAGCAGTGCTTCAGAGGAAAAGGGAGGAGGAAGCGGCAGAATCCAGCCCTGTGGGATGAAGGGAGCAACTTTGAATCAGAATTTTAAAGTGTGTTTTAACAAGCAGTAGGTATTCAAATGTATTGGGCAACAGACAGAGCTATTATTAGGTGAGCCGCCTATCCAGTAGAAAAAAGAGAGGTTAGGTACTGCACAGTTTGCCAGATGATGGAAGTATGAAAATTACTCATGTGTCTACCCCAGTAGGTTAAAAGGCTTAAAGTGGGTGGCACCACTCTTTAAACTGGTGGGATTAAGCCAGGGGGAATGAATTGCAGTGGCTGGATATGATCAGAGAAATTCATAGGCAAAATATTTGAACTCGGAATCAAGGACAAGAGCAATGCCACTTTCTTTTAATATTTCATTCTCTTCCCCCACGCAATAGAGAAGGAGAGAAAGAGAGAGAGAGAGAGAGAGCGAGCCCCCTCCATGCAGGACCACCTCACTTTCCAGAAGAAAGAAATCTATAGGAAAAAATGAGACTTATTTTATATGATATTTGCACAACTGGCAAATTTCATGATTTCCAATTACCAGTGGGGGGAATAAATCCCTTTTGTCACTTCTGAAATAACAGACACATATAATTCAGCTTATTTTCTTCCTAAAACCCGTGGTGCTCAAATGATGAAAAGGAGCAGCCCAGCCTGCTGCCCTGATGAGTTTATTCCCCAGGTTTCCTGGGCTTCCATATTAAGGGCTATTTTCTTGGAGCCAAGTCAGAAAATGTGCATCTGGGCTTCCAGGGCTGGTTTCCATGGTGAGAGGAGTGAAGGGAGGCCACCTTTCTTTCCTCTCCCTGGTGATTTTAAGTACAATATCTGTATAATTTAATTTTTTTTCAAAATTGACGTTTCTGGTCTTTTCACAAGATAGAGCTAGGAAATTGGAAACTAGGCAAGATTCTATGCAGCTCCAACATTCATAATTAACAATTACTACTATGTATTGAAATCTTTTTGTGGAATAGACAAAGTGTTAAATGTTTTGCATTCATTTATTTTTCTCAACAGCCCTGTGAAACAGACAATACTTATCACCCTTTTACAACGAGGAAGATTACAATTTGTCCAAGATCACATGGCAAATAACAGAAAAAAGCTTAGAGTTAAACCAAATTCTGTTGACTTCAGAAATCGAGGTTCGGGCAGAAAGATAGAGAATCATTTCATTTTAGAGGCTCTTAGATGCCTCTAAGTCAATTCAGTTACGTCAGCATGTTGTTTTACTCTGAAATAAGTGTCTGAACTTCGCTGCTCATCTCTCCATCCAGAAGCTCTCTGTGCCTTTGGTTTCTAGCTAGAAGTCTTTCCAAGAGGAACTGTATGTGGAACTCGGCTTTCTCTTTTAAAGAATTATGTTGCTTAATAATCGAGTAAAACCATTTTATAGTGCTCCTGTAGGATACTCCTTAACAATTAACCATAAAAAACTCTAAAAAGAGAAAACTGAATGAAGATTAGAGGACTATACAACATTCACTAATCTGAGGTACTGAGCTTACTACAAAACCCTTTCCCTACTGTTTGAAATGTGGTCATCATAAACCAAATATCTTTACCCACCAACATCTGTATTCTGTGGCTTTTAAGTCTTAATTATTGCAGCTTTATAATGTAGGCCAATACAATGCGATGCAAATCTCATTTTTTTTTAAAAAATTATTATTGGACAAGAATCATTTTTGTCAAGTCCCTTTATTTTTTTATACTTACAATTCGTTTTAGGACCTTTTCCTATCTCCTAACCAAAATCCAAAGTCTGGGATTTTAGAAATCTGAGAACCAGTACCTACTAAAGCTACTAAAATGTGATCAAAGTCATTAGTAATCAAGAGAATGCCAGTTTGAACCACAATGAAGTCCTATTACACACTGGCCAGATAAGCAGACATCAAAGGATCAGTCAATAGCAAATGTGGATAAGGATGTTGGGCCAAAGGAACCCCAGTGCATTGTTGGTCATGGTGTGACTTGGCACAAACACCTAGGTAAACAGTTGGGCATTCCTTAGTATGTGTGAATATACACTCTCCCTTGCCAGTAGATCATCTGCCCCAACTACACATGTTCTAAACATGTGTCCTAAGTATGCAAGTGCTTCCGAGAGTCCCCCGTGCTCAGGAATGTGCATGAGCCCACTGTTCATAACCCCTGAGTTGTAAATAACCTCACGGCTGCCCACAATGAGAGGCAGGTGAGCTCCAGGATATCCAAACAGCATTGCAAGTGAACAGGCAGAAACTACCCACATCAACTCGGATAACTCTTGTACGTCTATTGTTGAGTGAGGTAAGACACCAAAGAATCCGGGAACTTGGATTTAATTTAGCCAAATTTAATAGAGCATGAAAAACAGGATTCTTCCTGTTTGTGTTTCCTTTATTATAAAGCACTGACAACAGAGAAACAAACAGGTTGGAGGCTGAGTGGTCCCTCAGCCCGTTCATCCGCAGTCCCTGGGAGCTATACTACCTATAAAATAAGCAAAAACAAAGCTACTGCTTATAAATGCATAGAGAGAGAGTAAATCTATGGAGAAAACATAAAATTTGAGACAGTAAATTCTGGTGGTGTGAGCAGAGCAACATTCAACTTCTCACCCTACTCAAGGGTTATGCAAACATTTACTTAAAATGAATTGTTCAACTTTCCTTTTAGGCTTTATTTATTTTTCTGGATGTCGATATAGAAATATTTAAAAATAATCAAACAAGGTACTAGTCAGTTTTTTTGGGGAAGGAAACTTGGTCTCTTTCTACCTCTTTTTGTAACTTCTCAGGAACGGGTCCTCTTCTAGCCTCAGTTTCTTTCTCTTCTAGTTTTTCACTATTTAAGGCCTTGAAGAATTACTCATTTTTTATATTTTTGTGTGTTGTCATGGTGTTTTGTCTTAAGGTTCGACCAATATTTTTCTGTGCATAGCAGACTATGAATATTTGTTCAGTGAATGAATGCGCATTCAAATGTCTTTATTCTTGAAAACAGGACAAGAGGGGCAAAAAGAATACTCTATTAAGTTGGAGAAAAAAATACTCCAACTCCAAAGATGATCCAATATGACAGAATACGTGCAGGTTTTGCTAATGTTTATTTTGTTTGGCAGTTTCTTGGCACCGACAGTGTGATTATCCTTACAAATCCTCTGCAGCTTCTCTAAGTGAGATATCTGTCACCTGTCACTTTGGGGACTTCTAGTGAGATGCTGAAAAGGAAAACAGGGATACAAGTCAGCTGGTGGGAGTCCTGGGGAGTCAGAGCCATTACCCCCCAAATCACACTGGGAGTTGCAACTTGCAGAAAGAATGCAGTGATGCAGGAAAAGTGAATTCACTAGGGCATGAGACCTACTTAGTCCTGCCACATCAAGCTCTTACAGTCAGGCTCAGTCCTGGGTGTTGCGATGCTGACATTCTACTTGTCTAATTGGTTGCTGTTCATGAACTTTTACTTAGAATCTGACTGCACTTCACATGGCAAGCCTTCGGGTGCAGTGCCATGACACGCTAATTTCCTTTGTCCAGACCCAGCGCCTTACTAGAGGCGGCTTAGTACCCGCCACGTGCACCTTTTGACTACTGCAGGTATTTGCCTTTGGAACAGTACCTGCTCATTTCAAACACTTTGTAAGTGCCAGGCTTTGTAAAGTGCTGAGATTTTTTTTTTTTTTTTTTACTTTTTATGTATTTATTTGAATACTTACAGAGAGAGAGGGAGAGACAGAGACAGCAAGAGACCTTCTGTTGGTTCATTCCCCAAAAGGCTGCAATGGCCAGGGCTGGTCCAGGCCGAAGCCAATAGCCAGGAACTTCTCCTGGGTCCCCCACGTGGGTGCAGGGGCCCAAGGACTTAGGCCATCTTCAGCTGCTTTCCCAGGTGTACTAGCAGAGAGCTGGATGGGAAGCAGAACTGGCACCCATATGGGATGCCTGCACTGCAGATGGTGGCTTTGCTGCACACAATGCCAGCCCCAAGAGTTGATATTTTGAAATGTATTAACTCATTTAATTTCTAACTCTATAAAGACTGACTTGGGGCAGCGTTATGGCACAGTGGGTAAAAGTGCTGTCTGCGATACTGGCATTTCATATGGGTGCCAGTTTGTACCCCAGCTGCTTCACTTCTAACTCCCAGCTAGTGGCCTGGGAAAAGCAGTGGAAGATGGAAAAGTGTTTGGGCCCCTGCTACCCAAGTGGGAGACCCAGCTGAAGCCCCTAGCTCCTGGCTTTGGCCTGGCCCAACACTGGCCATTGTGACCATCTCAGGAGTGAACCAGCTGATAGATGGAAGATTGCTCGCTCTCTCTCTCTCTCTCGTTCTAACTTTCAAAATGAAATACATCTTTAAAAAAAAAAAACTGCCTTTATAACATTCTAATTTTGCTGACAAGGATTCTTGAGCCCTGCCAACTAATTCACTCAAGGTCACAGCAAGTGGTGAAGGCAGAATTTGAACCCAGATAGCAGAGTTCTAGAGCTAATGATCATAATTACTGATTAATTGATTTATTCATTAATTCATCAATTTTCTGTCCAATGATTTGGGCTTCCAAATTCTATACTAGATTCTAGAAGTGTGGTAGTGAGCTAGCAAAGAAGATACCTGCTCTTCCTCTATACTTCCTTCTCCCTCCTCCATCCCTTAAAAGTTATGTGTATTCTTAGAAGTATCGTTAGAAAGTTCATGTGTCAAAGTGCTTAGAGATATGTTAGTGAGGGGTCATCTCTGGGGTAAAATTGATGATGGCTCTGCCTTCTGTTAGAGTCAGTTATGATTGCAAAGATTAAGTGACTCACAGTTGTTATAACAACCATAAGATTTTCCAAAAATGCCCACTCAATCCTCTCCATCTTTGCTCCCTAATCCCAATAGGAAGCTGCAAATGTTTCCCTTCCTGCTGCAACACATCAAATTTTAAGCCTTGTTTCCAACTGTAATGTGAATTTAGATCCTTCAGAGCCACCTACCCAAATAAAGATAACAAATAAATTTTCTCAGTCTTTTTGATTACAGGGCCAGCTGCATTTGTGAGTCTTGGAAGGACTCAACTTTTAATAGGTGCACGATCTAAGTAAGAAGAGTTTGTCCATTAAGGCCTGTTCATGCTTGTGTGTACTGGGTAATGAAGGCGGCTACTGAGAGAAATTAGAAAATTATTAATTCTTACTGTGAACCATGTAGCAGTGGATGATAGACAGCAATGCAAGTGTACCTACCTTACATGCTGGTGACTCTCCTTTGGGGGAAACATGTTGGGAAAATAGGTTTGTTATCTCTTGGGGAGTAAAACTAGCCTAACGTTTTCTTTTTATTTTTCAGCACCTGAAATGTTCAACTCCAAAAAAGAAGCAGGTTATTCCTTTGCTGTTGATTGGTGGTCCCTAGGAGTGACAGCATATGAGCTGCTGAGAGGCCGGGTACAGTGGAATTGCACATTTTCTTTGGTTATTTTTCTAGAAGGTTCTATTTTAGAATGAAAGGGTACGTTCTCTGCTAAGAATCAAGCAGTCTAAGAACTGGAAACAGCTATGTCATGTAATGCTGACTATATTCCTTGAGATTTCTGCACTGATTAATTCTCTGTCCTACATATGGGGCCAACTGTGTCAGAAAACATTAAATCACACACTTAAAAAGTAAGTGAACAATATGGATATTATAAAATCCCAAATAAGGAAAACCAATGTGCTTCACTAAATGTCTTGTAAAAGTATATGTGTTTAAAGGAAGTCATTTGGCAGTCATAGTATATTTCAGAAACACCTCACCAAGACAAGTGTGAATTATTAATACAACACAATTCATGTCTTATCTTGTTGAATTCCTAGTTGTCATTTGTCTTGTGGTTTTGGTTTTAGTGGAAAAGTAGACTAGTTTTCTTTGAAATGTACCATTTCTTAAAAAAAAAAAAAAGGTTTCTAGAAAAACTAAGGATGAAACCAAATATGAGAAAACACATATTTTATACAATTCTTGCAAACTACTGCATAATGTAAATATCCTAAGGCTGTATCTTAGCTCAGCCTTTCATAACAAGACACTACAGACTGTGTGGCAAACACAATAGACGTTTATTTGCTTACAGGCGTGGAAGCTAGAAGTTTGACATCAGGGTACCAGAATGTCTGGGTTCTGGAAGGGCCTAGCTTCTTGACTTGCACACAGGCGTGTTTTGACTGTGTCCTTATGTAGTAGGGGAGGGCAGAGAGGAACAGGGGAAATGGAAAGAGATCTTACAGGCCACTAATCTCATTAGACTTAATCTATTCCTAATTACCTGCCGAAGACCCCTCCTACAAATATCATCACATTGAGGATTAGGTCTTCAAACATAACACTTTGGATGGGACACAGATATCTAGTCCATAACATTACATTCATAGTTTCCTAAAATTCATATGCATTCCAACAGCCAACAAATTCTCAACCCATTCTAGTATCAACTCTAGAGTCTAAGTCTCAAGTCTCATTAATGCATCTAAATCAAATATGGATGAGATTGCGGGTCTGATTTTCCTGAGGGGAGATCCTTTCTTCCTATGAACCTGTAAAGCCAGCCAGTGTATCAGTGGTGATACATGCATATGGAATAGACAGTCCAATTCCAAAAGAAAAACAACGGGAAAGAAGGAAGAGGTACCAGGTCCTAGGCAGTCCAAACTATAGTAAGACAAACTCCACTACAACATAGTAAGGCTTCAGAATAATCCTCTTTGGTTCAATTGCCTACCTTCCAGTGTACCAGTCACTCTCACGGTGGAGAGCGGGGCATGGGTGACTCAGTTAAGTGGCTCTGTGCAAGAGCCTTGTCCACATGACTTTCTTTTGAGGACCCTACCTATACAGCTGCCATTTGAAACTTAATTGGAGGCAGCTCTGCTCCCAACCCAATGCACTTAGGACCTGTGATTGGAATGGCGGCTCTGATGATGTCTGAATTTCCCTGGGGATCCTTTCTTCTGTAATTTGAAGGACAGTGCATGCTCTCAGTCCATTATCATTCTGGTCCTACCCTGTCAAAAAAAGTTGGACTGCCTTCCATTATTTCATTCCATCTTCTCTATCTTCTTTAATTCAAACCGGTAGTGTCTCCTGGTGTGATTCCTTTTTCATTCTGGCTTCTGTTGAGATGAGTGATTGAGTCCATGAATAAATGCATCAGCTCTTTATCAATTGGTTGTTTAAACACACCTATAGAATTCTTTCAGAACAAGATTTCTTATTTATTGATTCATTTTTGCAATAGGGATAGGCCAATTTTTTTTTCCAGTCTTCGATTTCTGGATCCTTTTTGCTTAACAATTTATTTTTCAATTCATCGCTCTCCTTTCACATTTTACTATAAGCTGTCAGGAGGAACAAAACCATGCGTTCAACATTTTGCTGAGAAATCTCTTAAGTATCCAGTTTTATTATTCAAAAGTTTTACATTCCACCAAACAGTAGAACACAATTCAAACAAATTCTTTGCCATTTTAATTACAAGAATTGCCTTTCTTACACTTTCCAGTGGCATGTTACATTTCTGTTTTGGAATTGCCCTGAACATCTCTGTTTCTAGCATGCTCTCAAGGTCTTGTGATGGACGCAATTAGTGATTCTTCTGAGATCAAGAAGTTGAAGAATGTTTTCTCCTGGATTTCACGAGTTTGTTCATCCTATGAAGCTAAGAGAGAGACTCTCGAAGTCATCATTCCAGATACTTCAGTCAATCTAACATTTTGGAATCATTCTTTTTGCTTCTGTCAGCAATCTTCTTTGGTCCCATATCATTCCAGCATAATCTCTGTTTTCAAAGTGCTACATCTGGGCAGGTATTACAGCACCATGAGTTAACCCCATGTTTGGGATGCTTGCATCCCATACTGGAGTACCTGGTTCATGTCCTATTTATTCTGCTTCCAACTGAGCCTCCTGCTGATGCATCCTGGGAAGCAGCAGGTGATGGTTCAGGTACCCGGGTCCCTAAAACCCAAATGGGAGACCTGGATGCGGTTCCTGGCTCCTGGCTTGACCTAGCCTAGCTCTGGCTATTGTAGACAGTGGGGGATGAAAATAAATACAATAAACATGAAACGAAGTGTCACCTCACAACTAGTTGGCCTATGCACATATAAGAACAACCATCAGAAGCTGTACTATTTCATCATGATCTAATAACTTCATCCTGCTCAGCAAAGCAAAGATAAGGAATTCTAAAGCAATCACAGGAAGATATCACTATTGTATCTGTTTGATTACTCTACAGAGTGCATGTTGCCCTTAAACATTAATTTGTTTGTTATTCTTCCTCTCTGAAGAGATCATCATAACAAGATTCTTCATGCATATCCAAATGTTGATGAGTTAGATTAATAGAAATCAAAATCAAATCTTTCCTGTTTCCATCTTCTAATGGACTTTGTCCCATTTTAGAGAGAAATCAAAGATGTCAATATGGTAACTACTTAAAAGTATCAACATCTCTGTTCTTACTCAGTTCACCCCCGAGTTCCCCCCAGAAGTCTCTTACCGCTCAGTTCTAGCCCCTTCTATTTTTCAAGGCAGTTGTGCTCTGCCCTCATCTTTTATTAACACACTTAGCAAGCAGAAACTGAGTAGTGAGTTGAAAGATAAAAACAAGGGCCTATTATTCTTCAAAATGCCAAATACCACATTTAAGTATCACCTATCTAAGAGACCTTCTTGCGTGCCTAGAAAGAATTTTACTAAGAACATATTTTTTTTCTCTTCCATATTATTGTACTTCTATAGTTGTTCCTACCCTCTCCCCACCCCTCACACATTAAAATGCCTGACCTTGGCATCCTTTGTCCTTTAGAGCTGGGCTAACTTTTCAAATCTGGCTTCCATTTGGATAATCCTGACCCTTCATGAACTCACTTTAGTCTCCTTGGATTCTCATCTTCTTAAAGCATCCCTTGGGCCTTTCCCTTTCTTGTTTCTTTGCCTATAAAGATATTTTCTAAGGTAAATTCTAGTCTTCTTAAAAAAAAAAAAAAAACCTCTGCATGAGCTTGGAAATTGAATTTGAATAAAGAGAAGGATATATCTTGATTGCAAGGCTTTTCAGAATCTGTGCATATAAAATGTTTGGACACTTTTAAGATAGGGTATTCATACTATTAAATTATGCTTCTTTGTTCACATTCAAATCTTACGCATATATTATGGCTTAGGACAAAACAGCACCTCCTCTAAAGAAATTTCTCTGATCTCTAAGTAAATGATCCATCTCTCTCCCAAACTTTTGTGCAGATTCTCTCTTATGACCTTTCTGAATTTAAATACATTAGAAAATATAGGAAAACACAACAATGAAATAAAAATCAACTCTATAGTCTTTAAGGCAAAGAAAACTCCCAATTAAGAGAGCAAACTCTCTTTGACCTTTAAATCCCACCTTCAAGAATGAATAACGCCCTGGCCTGCAGTGCCAGCATCCCATATGGGCTGCTCCACTTCCGATCCAGCTCTCTGCTGTGGCCTGGGAAAGCAGCAGAAGATAGGTCAACAGCTTGGGCCCTTGCACCTACGTGGGAGACCCGGAAGAGGCTCCTGGCTCCTGGCTCCTGGCTTCAGATCATTGCAGTTGAAGCCCTTGTGGCCAGTTGGGGAGTGAACCATCATATGGAAGACCTCTCTTTCTCTCTCTCTCTCTTTCTCTCTCTCTCTCTTTCTCTGCCTCTCTGTGTAACTCTGACTTTCACATAAATAAATAAATCTTAAAAAGAAAAAAGAATGACTAGTTTGTGGAGTTGACTTCTAAATCTTTTCTGTTCCAATATGGATAATCTATCTTTAGCTATAGGCATAAATTTTTTCTTCTTTTGCAAAAATAGACACATGTTTAATATTTCTATTAGACTTATTCTTTTCATTAAATAATATACAACTTTCTATATCAGAACACCTAAATTTATTTTCTTTTTAAGGACTAAATCCATTTGTAAATGTATTGCCTCACAAATTTTTGGATTATCAAGTATATCATTTTTAATATTTCTATTTTTTTTAAATCAATTCCTTAAAGGCAAAGGATTTATCATATGTAGTTCAGTGTTATCCACAGTATCGAACTTTCAATGGATACATAATACATGTGCCTCAAATGAATGGAGGAACAAATCACTACAAATCAGTTTTGACATAATCAAGAAAGAATCACCAACTAGGCTCTATGCAGCTTCTCTGAGGACAGTGGTATATTAACATTTAATCACAAGTTTCAGCAGGAGTGTGCCACAGAGGAAGGGGCTACACTGATTCCCTTCACATTTACAAATTCTTGTTTACAGAAAAACTTAGGTCTCAAAGAGCAAATGTGCTTCCAGACATGCCTGCAGTGTCTCAACTAATCATAGTGTTGATGAATGTGTCCTAGACTATTAACCTGCATTGTCACCCTTGCTTGTCCCTGTTGTCCCATTGCCACGTAAAGCAGAGGTCCCTGTCTTTCCTAGCTCTGTTCTATCTGTAAGTAGTAACTTCCGATAGAGAATATGTAGTCTTGCACTCATTGTACATCCTCACCTCAATGCTTTCACCTTTGTACTCCTAAACTGACTAGAATGATAACACATCACTTGTTCTCATCTAACATTTTACTATTCCGTCGTGTTCATTTTTTTATTCTTACTCTTAATTTATATGATTCCTAAGGTTTTTCTTCTCAGAATGTTCAGTGTATCTTGCCGTTCTTTATGGTTTGTATTCCATTTACTTAAATGGTCATGTGTGTTTAAGTGTGAGTATGGGGGCATATACAGTCTATGTAACTTCTTGTAGATGTCCTTAAGGACACCGTAGGCTCCAGCAGCATAGGAGTCCCATCTGATTTGTTCTTCATTCTATTCCTAGTGTCTCGCTATAGTACTGTAACACAATAGGCATTCACTAAGTATCTGGAAAGGAATAAATGTATAATTCTGGTAAATAATGAATTAGAATGAATTTTAAGTTTAGAGCTAGAAAAGGTAAAGTAATGAATAAGAAACAGGTAATTTGATTATTTTTAATACATTGATGGGCCGTGCTTTTTTTGGTATTCAATTTAGCCATATGGTCTTGTAAAGGAAGTGAAGAAAACACACATATTTAAACTAGTTGTGAGATTCACGGACTAATTCATTCAAGTTTATCAATTCATTTTGATTTCTAGCTGTCCAGGAGACAATAGGTTTAAAAGTAGCAATTAATTGAAATAAAGAAGACACTGGGGGGTAGGGGGAAGAATACATGTACATATGCATATAACACTGGAAGCTTGAATATGCTAAGTTTGACCCAAATCTTAATGGTATACCTGGAATGAATTACGTAGATAACTACAGTGCCCTCTGGCCAATAAACATTGGTAATCAGGTGACAGAGCGGCTAACATTCCATTTCAGATACTGAGTTAAAGGTTATGTCTAAATCAGCATTACCAAGGCAACAATTTAGCTGTGGTCCATTATTTAATCTTGAGAGAAGAAAAAAATGTGATGGTTGTTTTTAGATGTTACTTAAAAAGAATAAAATGTCTGACCTAATCTCACTGTTAGGGGTTTCCTCCTGGAACTCCGTGGGTCCATGAGTAGCTGATATTGACTTGCCGTGTGTAGAATTAAGCCTTTCTTCATATCTACACTACTGAGAATTCATCTTGCTGCTCACTGTTCTCATTTATAGCTACCCTTTTCTAACCCTGTATCAATACCAATGAAATAGCTCTCCTGGATGGTGTCTAATATGTATTAGCCTCTCTAATGAAAGCACTACTGCATTATCTCCTTTACCTTTCCCAGCAATCTAATGATTGTGTTCATTCTGCAGATGAAGTAGCTTTCCCTTACAGAGGTGGCAGCTGAAGCTCAAAACTTGAGTTGCTAAGTTGCCAGATTCTTTTGCCTTCAGAGCTCAAATACTTCATTATATTATATTGTCTCATAATACTAATTTTACTATAAAACTGAAACTTTTATTTCTCAAAATTTATTTTATTAGCCAATAATCATTCATTAAATATCTAGAAAGGGCCAGGCACAAAATACAAGTGCATATCCATATCAACGGTCCGACAGTTAATCTGTTATGGAAATTTTGTTCCTTAACCAGGTTGCAACCCACATGATGCTAAGGCCTTTGGGAGAGAGTGTGACTATGGTACAGTCTCTAGCTTTACGTGGTTTACAGTTCACATAAAAAACATAATTCCAGCCTCTAAGAAGTCCATACAAAATAGAAATTAATATCAATAACGGCTGCCCTCTAGTGGACATCTGTGAAAGCTACAACAAATCCACAGTTTGTTTATCCTCCTCTCCTCTCCCTGCCAAGTGAAAACTAAAGAACCTGGTTCTTCCAGAAACATTTCTTAAAAAGTATTTGCCTTATCATAAAATTCTCCACCCCACATTAAATGGAAGCAGAGACTCATGGTAATTGGGGATGGAGCTGATGACTTCAGAGGATTTTTTTGTCCTGAACTTCTTTCTTGTGCTTCAAAGAGCAAAAAGGCAGAGTACGTTAAAACTCTGGGGCTCTTTATAATCAACCCTCACATAGTAATTTTTAAACTTCCATTTATTGATTACTTGTGCAGTATTTTATGTAAATACTTATGTAAGCTACCCTACAAAATAATTTTAATCAGTCTCTTAGAAGATGACTCAGCTCACTGCAATGTTTTGTTTGGCTCAGTGAAACTACCAACTTTTAAAAACTGTATCTCACAAGAAATTATAGGTTACTTTCGTGTCTTTAAAAAAAGGAGGCGATGTGGCAACATGGGACCACACACACAATCATCGACTGAAAGCAGTTAGAAATTAATATTGATATTTTATTGGTTATAAGTTTAGCCTGGAACCTTTGTACAATAAAAGTTTATTTTCTCTATAAATATATAAATTCTTATTTCTTCTCTCCCTTAAGAGACCATATCATATTCGCTCCAGTACTTCTAGCAAGGAAATTGTGAACATGTTTGAGACAGCTATTGTGTCTTATCCTTCTGCCTGGTCACAGGAAATGGTGTCACTTCTTAAAAAGGTAAGAAGAAAGACTGCACATCAAAATACAGTGATAAAATAATGAGTGCTCCCTACCTAAGGTTAGAAGTTAATATATAATATCGGGCATAATCGTATATTACTAGAGTGGTTTTTACTTACATATGTTACTAATGTGCTAACATACATTACTACAGCTGTTTTTAATAACATACATTACTAACATACTAACATATATTACTAGAGTGGTTCTTATAGAGCTAACAGAAATTCATGACCTCATTAATTCAACTCATAAATCCCCTTGGGATCCCAAAGCCATTTCAAACTCAGTGCATCTAAAATGGGATTCTTAATCCTTCTGAATTACCTGGATTCTTCTGATATTCTCTCTCTCTCACATACTGGCCCCTCCACCAATCTGTTTATTCAAGCTAGAAACCAAGATTCATTCATAATTTCCATATCCCATTCATCACCAAGTTCTGAAATTTACATTTTAAACATCTGTTGAATTTGACTTCTCTTCATTTCCACTACATCTCCTCAATCCAAAAGCCATTAAGTCTTGCCTCCCAAGTGCTTTTCCTCCTCCATTTTTTCCCCACTATGCCCCCCATGGTGACCTGCTTAAAAGACAATCAATGTTTTCCCAATGTCCTTGCAACAAAGATCAAAATTATTTATATAGTACAAACATTCCGTATACTACACAGGTCTTATTTTGGGCATTTTCCTCCATTTTAATTACACTGAAACATGCCTTGCATTCTTCTTGTTCTTCTTCTCCTTCTCTCCCCACTAGCACCTCACATACCAGTCTTGCTCTTAGCACAGGGCCTTTGCACATACAAATCCCTCTTCCTGGAATTGTCTCCCTTCTTGAGAGCAGTTCTATTCAGAGTGATTCACTGACTGCTTCTAGTCCATCAGTTGCGTCTTATAGGTCCATGTTAAGAGCAGAAATGGAGAGAAGCATTTGGAAACATTGATAGCAATGTGACACTGCTGTGTTATTTAAGTACAGGGTCAGCAGACTTGTCTCAGTGAACTGGGCGCAAGCTTGTTTGGGTGAAGTTGCACTCAAGTCAAAAGGGACATAGATGGGGCTGCATAGTAGAAATGTACAGTAGAGCACACAGTGGCTTGAATGGGTTAGAAGTTAAAACACAAATAACTGGCCCTTCCACCTGGTGTGAGAAGCACAGCTTTAGATCATAGCTCCAATGTCACTTCCTTGGGGAACCTCCCAGTCTGATGAGCTCACGTAACACCATCTTTCCTTCATAGCACTTCTAACCCTTGGAAACTGCACATAGCATTTGTATGATCCTGGAGTTAATGATTATTCTCCTCTAAGGTGCATGAGGGTAGTGCCCATGTCTGACTTGCTATTCCCAGCATCTAATGCTGAGCCTGGCAGGTGGTAAAACTCATTAAGTATTTGAATAAATTAGGCCCCTACCATTCATCAGCTTTTGAAGGTGCTCATGTTCACCGTAAGAAGATTTAAAACAACTATAGTAGGAGCTCACTGGTGCCTGTTGAGTGATTTTGCAAAACAAAGACTAATGAGCCAAGAGGATGAGTTTGTATTTTTTTTGTTGTTGTTGTTCAAGTTGTGATGGTAAAGGAAAAGAACTTTAGGAACCAAGGATTCAAAATCTGTGGCTGACCTTTAAGGTCAAGTTCCCTGTTTCACAGTAGGGACATTGCTATTGGTAGTGTCAAAGATGTAGACTAGGGAGGACATTTCCATAGGAAAAGCGTGCTTTGTTGCAAGACCGCCCTCCTTCACCCGGAGATCACACCCTGATGTCCCACAGTTGTTATTTCCAGGAGCACTCTCGAGTGGGACTCGGACACACTGTGTCACCCACTGATTTCCTGGTGGCTCTCATGCGGTTAATGGGCAAATACTCTTTTCATTCCAGTTAGCAAAACCCACACTTAACAGGTACCTTAGTTGCCACCTTCTGTGCCACCCAAAGGGATTTTAACTATTTGTTAAAAAACAGCTGAAATTTTAGTGAGAAGTGAGTGTCTTTCATGAACTGGTGTGAACGTTCACCACCTAACATGAGCAGATCTTTTAGGCACTTGGCGTACCTAGCCTCATTTAATCTTAATCACACATTGAAGTGAGTTATCCCTTTCTTTACAGGTGGGTGAACTAGGGTTTAGCTAATATACTTGCCCCTAGTTAGTAAGCAACTGAGTCAGGAGTGGAAGACATGTTTGTCTCAGTAGGCCAAGCTATTTTGATGACATTTAAAATCTCTGTTTATGGCTCCTTTTAATCATTCCTCATCTATACTATTTGTCTCTGAGGCTTGCAAAGAGGGACACTGTGTTGTTTCCTTCAGTGCTGTACTTGAAAACATGTAGAGGGAATTTGTATGACTTAGATTTTTGGTCCCTAAGCTTCCTTGTGACCTTGCTGTTTGTATTTTGTTGGCAGCTCCTTGAACCTAACCCAGACCAACGATTCTCTCACTTGTCTGACGTTCAGAACTTCCCGTATATGAATGATGTGAACTGGGATGCGGTTCTGCAGAAGAGGCTCATTCCAGGTTTCATTCCTAATGTGAGTCAAACCTAACAAATGCAAACCTGCTGGCATCACCTAACCTGGCACATAACTCCGTGTGCCAGGTCCACACACCGCCTCCTTAGATAACCGCTGCACAAATCTGTTTCTCGGATGAGAAAACGGAAGCACGTGCAGGGTCAGTTGTTCATCAAAGGATACACAGCTACTCAGTGGCAGAGCTGGGAGTCTCATCCATGTTCATTCGCGTCGGAGTTTTAATTTCCAACCACTTTTTGTTGTATGCTTTCATTGGAAAGAAGTCCTAGCCTCCACCCCATGTAGTCCTTTCCAATGAGCTAATGAGCTCGTTGGCTGATTGGGAAAAAAAAATGCTTTCTCTTATTACAAAGATGTAGACATTTGTGTCCATGAGAGTCTGTCAATCAAAAGATTGAAAACTGTTGGGGTTGAGGTGAAGAATTTATTCTTACTATTCACCCCTCTTCTCTTACTATTTTTATCTCAGAGATTGTAAGAGCCAATGAGAAATAATTCCTACATGTAAGTATCCAACCCAGGGTGTCTGTGGCCCGCAGGAGACATTGATTCAAAACCAGGACTGCTGGGAGGCTTAAGCGCCTTCCTGTAGCCACCACCTGGACTGCACATTCAGCTGTGGATGTGCTGGGCAGAATGATGTGCTCTTTAAGGGCCTTTTAGAAGCAATTGAGTTTTCTAAGGCCAAGTGAGGTGCTTGCCTGGCCCTATGCAGTGTGATCCTTCCTGTGCAATAGTGGGGGTGGGGGAAAGTGCTTGAAGGAGTGTGTTGGGTAGAAGTGCAAGGTGAGAACAGAGAGAAAACAGTGAGGTGGAATTCCAGGGGTACAAATCTCTGACTGGAAAGCAATAGCAGGGTGCAGCCCAGCCCTTTCCCGCCCACTTTTCAGGGCCCCAGGGGGTAACTTGTAGCATGGTCACACATGACACTATGGGACTCCGGTCATCCCCTGCTGTCATTTCATCCCTCCTTGTTAGCCATCAGGGTTGCCCTAGGACGAGTTCTGCCTTATGGTTCCCTGACTTCCTTATGCATCTGAGGACTCTGGGAAGCTGACTAACGAATGGGCAGGTTCTTGTGTTCAGAAATCCTGGCTGGGGAGGTCTGGAGACATGGGAAGCTCTGGTGATTCTGGTCCACGTGCTCATGGGAACATACTTTGCGAAACAGCCCTTCGGAGAAGTAATTCTCACTTGGGCTAACTGGAAGTTCAGAAAAACAACATACAAAGTCAAGGATTATGAAAATCAGTGCTGGTAATCAGTGACACAAAAACAAACCCAGTGTAGGAATCCTAGCGTGTCCTTATCGGACTGCTCTGTTGGGCCCGAGTCTATGTGTTTTTAGAAGGACGCCGGAATCCAGCCCAGGTGTCTTCTTACAGAAAGGCAGACTCAACTGCGACCCTACCTTTGAACTTGAAGAGATGATTCTGGAGTCCAAACCTCTCCACAAGAAAAAGAAGCGTCTGGCAAAGAAGGAGAAGGAGATGAGGAAGTGCGATTCCTCTCAGGTAAGCCGGTCCCCGCCCAGGAGACGGGCGTGGGCAGTCCCCGCAGGGCTGTACTTCATTTGAGAGCTTCCGTTGGAAGGTCAGCTCGCGCAGCGCCCTGCTTTTGCAGCCCTGGGGAATGAGGGGTCGACCGTGCGCCCAGGCTGCTGATAGGGCAACTCTGGGGGTCCCAGCAGCAGCATTGCCCTTGTCAGCTTTTCCTCTGGGGTTCTGCTGCTGACTCGACCTATTTATCGCGCTCTCCTCATTCACAATTCAAACTTTATAATTTTCCCAAGAGATTACGTCCAATTGGCCGAGCCTATCTCAGGTGACTAGACTGGAAATGCTGATCCGGGGGCAGGTCGGAAAGTGCACGTCGCTGTTTGTGGCCCCACTTTTGCTCTGAGGAGTTTCTGGGAGCAGCCAGCCCCGGAGCCGGTGTCGGTTCTTTGCCATCAGCAGAGTTTTCTGGTGTCAAGGGTCTCAGAAGGAGAGAGTGTCTATTAATAGGAACAATGGAACTCCCATAGAGCTGAAAACCATCACTGTATTTGAGGTTGAGGTATATTAACTTTGTGAGTAAGTGTATTCTGTCTAAACTCAGATCTCAGGACAGTAGCTTGTAGGGACCCATAGGCTTCTGTACTCACATGTAGATCTGTGCCTTATGATGACAGTGGAGTAATAAACAGCCACTTTGCCCCTAAAGGTCATCCATCCGTCCAACCAACCGTCCACCCACTAAGCCATCTACTCATCCATCCATCCGTGCATCTGGGCCACTTTCCTTGAGTACCTATTTTCTACACAGCTGCTGCACTAATTCCTGAGTAAGAAATGCATGAGACATAATTCCTATACTCAGTGACAAAGACTGCATAGTCTTACGGTGCAAATAGCTCTGCAAACATAAATATCTGCCATGTCTTTTAATTTCTTTAGTCCTTAAGGGCCATTATTCCCTTTAATGCTCAATTAAGCAAAGCTCACATCTCCATCCGGTTTGCTAAGAGCACTGGTCTCTTGGCAGATTCCCATCCTTGAGTGTTTCCTGGTACCTTCTGAGGAATGCTTAGCTGTGCTACATTTTGTCTTTCGACTGTCACTTCCCCGCAACGATTCGTTCTTCCTTCTATCATGACCAACTCACTTCTCTAGACTTGCTCCTTTCTGTGACCCTGCAGAGCTTGGCTCAATCTAGATACTGGCCAATCTGTTAATAGGCCCCCAAAAGTAGTGAAGGTCATGCATTCATCTTTGTTGTAAGTCTTCCAAAGTTTCAGACATAACTGTGTAATTTGTGATCATATGACCGTGGTCAACATGATCTGCTTATTGTTCCCACCATATCCTCTCACTATAGCATTTGCACTGACTCAAACCCCTCCACCAACACAGGCCCTCTGGTTAGCAGACTCCTAATGCAAGGTTTGTTCTTCAGGGCATTTGACCATTCTCTTAACCTTCCCTGGAATGTTCTTCCTTTAGATCATCACATGCAGCATTTTTCTCATCCTCCACACCCTCAACATCACCTTGTCAAAGCTGAAGTCTTCTCACTATCTCTTTCTTGGCTTCCATTTTTATCTCCCTCATCATATTAATAGCTAATAGTCATTAATTTATAACTGTCTTCTGTATTAGTTTATCTGTCTTTTTTTTCTACCCTACTATAATGACAGGTTCTGTGGGTGAAGACCAGGTCAATCTTATCTACCACTGTCTTCAAGTTACTCCAACAGTGCCTGTAGCATAGTAGAGGCACAATTAGTATTTGTTCAACATATTAAAGCAATAAAGGAAAACCTTTAACTAGATAGTGGAGACTGGACAGTCTTCTCTTACAGTTAAAGGGTCAAACGCCACCCACAGGGCATCTTCCTAGGGTCCTCCTTTGTCCTAGTATTTTGCCCTAGCTACAAAGTTGCGAAGACAAGCCTTCCTCCCCTATAGGAAAGGCTAAGAGTCATGGTGCAGACCCCTCCTATGTTTTCTAAGACTAAGTAAAACAAAGAGAGGCAGTTTATTGGGGCCAGCATCATGGTGTAGCAGGTGAAGCCACCATCTGCAATGCCAGCATCCATCTGTGTGATGGTCGTGTCCAGCTGCTCCACTTCCAATCCAGCTCCCTGCTAATGTCCTGGGAAAAGCACCGGAAGATGGCCTAAGTGTTTGGGCCCCTGCCACCCTGTGGGAGACCAGGATGAAGCTCCTGGCTCCTGTCATTGGCCTGACCCAGTGCTAGCCTTTGTGGCCATCTGGGAAGTGAACCAAGTGAACCTACAGATGGAAATTCTCTCTCTTCTCTCTCTCTCGCCTCCCTCCCTCCCTCTGCATGTCTCCTTCTCTTTCTGTAACTTTTTCAAATAAATAAATAAATCTTTTAAAAACAAGAGATAGTTTACCAGGTCTCACATTAGCCTCAGAATCATTTGCCAAGAAGTGGCTTTGCCCATAATGAAATAAGTTTTTACATCTTTAATCATAGAAGGTTAGATCTATTAGCTTTCAAATTTATTTTTTTGTTGTTTTTGTTTGTTTTAAAGATTAATTAATTTGAAAGGCAGAGTTATAGAGGCAGAGAGAGAAGTTGTCTTCCATCCACTGATTCACTCCCCAAATGGCTACAGTGGCTGGAGATGGGTAGATCTGAAGCCAGGAACATGGAGCTTCTTCCAGGTCTCCCACATGTGTGCAAGGGTCCAAAGACTTGGACCATGTTCTGCTGCTTTCCCAGGCCATAGCAGAGAGCTGGATCAGAAGTGGAGCAGCTGGGACTTGAACTGATGCCTGTATGGGATGCCGGCACTCCAGGTGGCAGCTTTACCCACTACACCACAGTGCCAGCCCCAAATTTATTTTGTTTTTAATTTGTATTTATTGGTGTGAAACATGTAGAAGACAAATTCTGGGCCATTTGGACCATTTTTATGCATACATTTCAGAAGCATTAAATGCATTAACAATACTGCGGGCCGGCGCCGTAGCTCACTAGGCTAATCCTCTGCCTGCGACGCCGGCACACCGGGTTCTAGTCCCAGTTGGGGCGCCAGATTCTGCCCGGTTGCTCCTCTTCCGGTCCAGCTCTCTGCTGTGGCCAGGGAGTGCAGTGGAGGATGGTCCAAGTGCTTGGGCCCTGCACCCGCATGGGAGACCAGGAGAAGCACCTGGCTCCTGGCTTTGGATCAGCGTGGTGCACCGGCCGCAGCGGCCATTGGGGAGTGAACCAACGGAAAAGAAAGACCTTTCTGTCTCTCTCTCACTGTCCACTCTGCCTGTCAAAAAAAAAAAAAAAAAAGAAAGAAAGAAAGAAAGAAACAATACTGCATAGCCACCGTCACTATTTCTGTGGGGAGCAATCCGGACTGGACTAAGTTACTGGAATTAAGACTTATTCTATGCATCTGCTCTCCCACAATATGGCGCTGGGAGAGAAGAAAACAGCTTCTACCCAGCTGCCTCCAGTTCAACCAATAAACTGTAGGACTTGCTCCTGATTGGAGGAGAGCAGCGTACTCGGCGTGTGGGCAGCCGAGTTGGGATTGGCAGAGGAGGACTATAAAGGAGGAGAGAGACGGCATGCACCAGGGAACATCTAAGGGGAACATCTAAGGGAACACCTGTGCAGCCCCTGAGAAAGCCGGCCGGCGGTGTGCCGCTCCCCTGCGGAAGTGGGGAATGTGGCCAGGGGGAACCGCCCTTCCACGGAGGTGGAAGGGACAGTAGCCAACCCGGGAAGAACCAGCAGCAAACCCGGGGAGGGCCGAGCAGAGGAAAGAACAGCGCAGGGTCCTGTGTTGCTCCTCCACGAAGAGGGGGAGCGACAATTTCCAATCATTTTTCCTCACACAGTACAGAATTCTATACCCATTAAGCAATAAGTTCCCTTTCCTCTCCCTCGTCATCCCTCGATTACAACTAATGTACTTCTTTCTCCATGAATTTGCCTTTATAGAGGATTTGCCTTCATATTATGGAATCTGACACTGACATTGTCCTTTTGTATCTGGATTATTTCATTTGGAACAATGTTTTCAAGGTTCAATTATGTTGTAGCACATATTAGAACTTCATTCCTTTTTTGGATGAATTATATTCAAATATATGAAAATAGCACATTTTGTCTATCCTTTCATTTATGGATGGCTGCTTGGCATTGTTTTGGCTTTTGTGAATAATGCCACAGGGAACATTCATGCACAAAATTCTGTTTTCACTTATTTGAGGCATATACCTAGGAATGGAATTGCTGGATTAAATGGTAATTCTGTGTGCTACTTTTTGAAGAACTACCAAAATATTTTCCATCACTTTGGAACCATTTTACATTCCAATCAGCAATTTACAAAGATTCTGATTTATCCACATCCTCACCAACATTTGTTTTGTTTTTGTTTTAATGATAGCCATCTGAGTTGGTATGATATTGCCATCTTATGGTATTAACAGGATATTTAATGGACATCATTGAATGGAAAGGATGATTTCATTGTTGCAGTTATTTGAAATGTGAACATCATGTTGAACGTATCCATGTTAATAACATAGGGAGCACAGGTAGAGAACATGGGTCATTGTAACTTGACATGCTCATTGAGAATGCTTTCTCCCAGCCAGGACACATGGAGACAGTGCAATGCCAGCAACTTGTCCACCACTAGAGGCCTGGCCCCCTTTCTAACCTTGTGGCTTGATTGGAATTCCTTTCAGTAACAGCTGCCTCTTTAGTCAATGTGGTGATCAGTTTGACTCCAGAGTAGCAAGATGACTTGTAGCTCCAAACAGTGGGGCTGGGACAGAGGCCGGGTCAAGCGAACGTGCTGTAGCTCTGGAGAAGGCTCTTGCTGCATTAGAAGAAAGGCCACGTCTGGATGAGATGCACGGCCGGAGGATGAGCAGTATCACCATCCGCCTGAACATACCAGGAGTATTTCCTAGTATTTCCTACCATCAGCAACACCTGTCATTTCTTTCCTCTGGAACACTACAGACCTATACTCAGGATCTGCCAGCTTTGA